CCACAGGCCTCTTTGTGGCAGAGAACAATGGATTCCTCAAAAAGTCTCTATGTTTTTGCATCAGGAATATTTTGGTGGATGTAGAGTTAAAACATGTGATTTCAGTCCAAATTTAAGAATAAAAATGTTTTACCTTGGTTGAAGTTCCCAGTCCACAGGTTATTCTTACTGGTTCCCCTGTTGCAGCTACAATGCTGTATCTCACAGTACAGAAAACAGTGGTAGCTGTGTTGGCCATTTAGCTAATTCAAACACATATCCATCAGTGATATCTTTATTGGCTAACCAAAATGCACAAATTGGAAAAGAAGGGTTCCGGTTGATATGCAAATGGCTTTTAAATTTCCTGGACTTGGAAAATCTCCCTATAGCCACAGGGCCAGAAGGAGGAGGAGCCTGCCTGCAAAAGATACCTCCCCACCATATACCATCTTAACCAAAGACTGAAACAGCATGTAGGCATCCGACTAACATCTCCACTTCTTTTTTCTCCTGTTTGGTTTGTAACATCTTGCCTGATGAAGAAGCCCATGGAGCTTCGAAAGTTTGCAACAAGTATAACTAATAAAAAAGTATTTCAAGAGGTGATAAATTATACACAGAAGCTGTGAAAACAACAATGGTACACAATAGTTGCAATCTGGATTGATGGAAGGACTAACCCTGCTGATAAGTCATAGATCTCCAAGGTTTTCAGATCACAGTGTGTCACTGGAATCTCTATTGTATATTGTTTACAGATGAAGGTTGCAGTCAAAATGAACTCACTTCAAGTCCTGGGGCAGAACTGCTTAATCTCTCCTATTGTTCTGCTGCATTCCTTCTTGTAATCTGTAACAGAGGTATTGCATAGTTTGCAGTCACAGTGGGTAGAAAAAAGATACAGAATGGTTTTAGCTAGTCATGTTTTTAGGTTGGTTCATAGTTCTCTTCAAAATAAACCATTTTTCCCCAGCACATTTACAGGAAGGCACTTCCTCTTCCCTCATCATTGCAATAATAGCATGAAATAGGTCATTAACTGTCTAAAGCCAACTAAATCTTTAGTAGGTATTTTCTAATCTGACAAAAATCTGACATTCCTAGAAAATAGGAATCTATTCGCTATGTAAAAATTATGCAAAATATTCTAGTTTTGCCAGTGCTAGGAAGAAATTAGTGTTTTAGTCCTTGATCATCTGAGTTTAAGTAAAACAGAGGTGCTCCTGGTCAGTCCAGAGGCAGATCAGGGAATAGGAATGCAGCTAGTGCATCAGCTGTACATGTTCCTGGAGATTTCATATATGAATACAGTGATACATGCTTGATGACATCCTGTTTGGACTGCTGTAACATAGTCAATACTGTCACATAAGAGCCAGTGTAGTGTAATGGTTTGAGCATTAGACTAGGACTCTGGAGACCAGGCTTCAAATCCTGGTTCAGCCATAGAAACCCACTGGGTGACATAGGGCAAGTTACACTCTCTCAGCCTCAGAGGATGCCAATGGCAAACCTCCTCTGAACAAATCTTGCCAAGAAAAAACCATGATGGGTTCACCTTAGGGTTGCCATAAGTCAGAAATGACTTGAAGATACACAACACACACACACTATATTCTACATGAAGCAACCTTTGGAAACTGTTAGGAAACTTCAGGTCCACAATAGTGCAACCATACTGCTGACCAAGGTAGTTACAGGTAACATATGACTCCTTTGACCTTCATTGGATACTGATTTGTTTCTGGGTACAAAGTGGTGGTGATGACTTATAAAGCCTGATATGAGTTGGGTCTATTGACACATTGGTCATTGAGTGTAGCCTATTTGATGGTTCAAAGGGGATGCAAATATCTGTGTGCATTCACTTCTGCTATGATGTTAGTTCATGGTGATATATATATATCAACATCACAATTAACATCTTACATTGTATTAATTTATTTTTTAATATGGTTTAATTGTGCTTTGAAATTTGCATTATCCATTGTTTTAACTGCATTTTGTTTTAACTCATATTGTGAACCATCTTGAGTCCCATATTAGGACCACTGTGAACTAAGATAATATTTAGAATCTTACCAAGCAACCTGAGATTTATTGTTTTGGGCTCTGCAGTATAAATAATACTAAATAATAGTTGAAAAGCTTCTATTAAAGAATAGCAGTTGCTTCTCTTCATTTTCTTCCCCTCTTTATTTTTAAGTTGTTGCCATGGCTCTACAGTATTTTATTTTCATGATGGCATATAAAACAGTAAGAGGAGCTTGAAGCGATGACCTGGCAAAGACTGGAGCACTGAAGGATTAACAGTGTGCTTTAATGTGTGGTAGAAATGATTCAAACAACTACTTGGAGCTTTGTGATGCATTTGCTTTCAGAGCAAAGAATGTGTATTCACACTGTTTCCACCCCACTGTCTGTTTTAATGCAAAGTAATATTGATGCTCCATAGCAGAAATGGGATTAGTGCTGCTTTATGTTTAGATCCTAATACAGGATCCGTGAAGATTAATCTTTACTGGAAGAATAGATCATTTTTAGGTTCTTCCTCTTGCCAGAAAGAACATAAAAGGAAATGCATTATTTCCAGTCCTGATTCCCAGACATCCTTTTATTTGTCACTCTGGATTTGAGCCACAATGGCAAATAATCCTGTTTAACTTTAATGGTCAGAAGAAAGTAAGTATACAAGCCTACAGCTTTCTTGTACTTTCCCAAAGTGCTTCTGAAGACCAAAGAAATCTTGGGGAGAAAAGGCTGCTTTAAACTGCTTTGCTCAGTGGAAGGAAACAAGCATATAATCATTCTGACAATAACCATTAACCAAAAGAATTCATACCACAGTAGTCTGATATCTAAAATGATGTATAGTGAATTGCACATTTCTTGCGGTAAAGCTTGATAATAACCAAGCACCCATTCCAGTAGAGATAATGTCATGAAGTTTTCTCTCTATTGGAGACTCAGTAAATCCCCTTAAAATAGATGTTACCTGTCTTTGCAGTTACTACCTTGTATGTTGTAGCAGTCCAGTTTTGCACTATTGCCAATGTGGCAAGCATGAAGAATTAATGCTTTAGGGCTTACAATTAATATTCTTGTCTCCATAATTTTAGTTTCATACTAATACAGATATTGGACTAGAGAGGACTATGAATCTCTTGCATTTTTCTTCTCTAGGATTGTATCTGTGGATATTTCAGGATGGGGATTTTGGGTTCACATATCACTATGGAAAGCTGAGCCCAAGATCTCTGCCAATCTCTCCTTTGGCACAGGCTGTCTCTGGGCGGGAGGAGTAATTGCAAAAGCAGCTCCGAGTTGAGTTCACAGTGTTGTAGTACATTTCAATCATCTTCACATATTTACAAGGCAATCCTAGTATGAATAACCTTTTGTTAGACAGAACAAATATATATTTGTTATCTTGTGTTCTTAATTTCTATGCTTTAAGTAAAAATTACATATGTTGATATACAAACCACCATCTCTTGCTATGAACATATGAATGAAGTGTGCAGAACAACAGCTAAATGAACCTGCCAGAACTGTAAGATTTACAGGGGAGGGCTTTTTCTCAGTCCTGCTACCGCTTCAACTTGATTGTTGAGGACACAAGAGAGAACCTTCTCAGTAGCTGCTCCCATCCTTTAGAAGGCTAGGCTGGCCCCCTTCATGCTCTCCTTTTGCTGGCAGGCAAAGCTTTTTTCTTTAAGCAGGCTTTTAATACATAACTGTGCCCAGGGTGGCTTTACATTATTATTATTATTATTTTGTATGTTCTAATGGTTTTAGGCCTTTTTAGTCATCAGCGCGCTTGCAAAAAGCGTGGGATGAGTCCTTCCTGAATCTTCGTTTGCGAAGAAAAGCCAGAGAATGGTTTTATATTTTAAAGTTATTATATTAATCTGATGTTTTAAATTGTGTTTTAAAATTGTACCTTTTTTTTAAAGCATCTTTTGTGAGCTGCCTTGGGTCCAATTTATTAGAAAGGTGGTGCATATATATATATATATATATATATATATATATATATATATATATATATATATATATCATTCACAAAATACATACAGCAACAGACAAGTTTTAGCATGCAGTTCTTTGGAATAACATTTTTGTATAATGAAGTAGTTTGCTTTAAAGAACTATCAATAAACAAGTTGAGAGAATATGTAGATGCATCTGGTGGGTTTTGTTGTTAGCTGCCCTCCAGTTGACTTCGACTTATGGTGACTCTGTGGATGAGACATCTCCAAGCCCCCTTGTCTCTGTTCAAGCCCATGTCTTTCTTGATCGAGTCTAACCATCTGGCATATGATCTTCCTCTCTTTCTACTGACTTCCACCTTTCCTAACATCATTGTCTTCTCTAATGATTCATAACTTCTGCTGGCTTATCATTGTACTAATATGATAATTTGATATTCCCAATATGAAGCAGTTGAAAAACATAGGGCGGGAAATATTGTGTATTCTAGATGTTTGGCTCTGCAGTGCCCACAATTCCATCGGGCTTGCTTGGTGGAGTTACTGGGAATTGTAGACCAGAAGCTCTGGCAAGTAAATGGTCTCCTCACTTTGATTCACATGCATCTGTTCTCACCTTCTTCATAATAGGAATATCAGTTACACTAGCAGTACCTACTGCTGATGCAATGCTTACACTGACAAAACATCACCAATGTGAGGAAAAGGTCCAATGAAGTATTGAGAGAAAAGGGAATTTAATATGAATCTTGTGTTTGCTCAGGGATCAATCGTGCCTCTGGTGAGAGTGTAAAATTGTTCTTGGCATTGCAAGTTGAAATATTCTCATCATAAGTTAATGGAAAAGGTGAAATTGTGCCACTGTCCCCCATCCCAAACATGGAGGGTAGGATTGCAACTCACTCTATAGACCACCATAGCTCTTCACCTGACATGTATAAGCTTCCTCTGGAATACAGATTATACATATCAACATGTACAAAATGGGACGATAACTCTATTTTTGTCTTTAGAGAACCTGAACCATAAAGTTAGTGATAGGATTCTTAATTTAAAAGGAGTATTTGTGTTGTGTTTGTAAATGGCCAACAGCCAAGGGGACAAATGAAGAACAAGTGAAAGAACATTCATCTTCACAGAACCCAGCAGGAGTGGGAGTCATGTAGCGTTCCAGATGTTATTTGGCTGTAATTTCCAGAATCTGAGCCATTGCCTGAGCTGGCTAAGATTGCTGGCATTAGGAGTCCAAAAACATTTGAAAAACTGCATGATCACCAGCCCTGTTTTTCAGGTACTTTATTTTGTGGCAATCACCTCTTGGTAATCTCAACAGCACTGTTGCTACTGGAGCTGCAAGGACAAGACATCCTCAACAGATAAGCAGTCAAGGGAGTAGTCGCCAGGAGAAGCAAATCTTGCTTCAGAGTAATATATTTGTACATCCTCTGTTTCATGTCTTTCCTGGAGATAAGTATAAAAAAAGAGAAGTATATAAAATGTTCACATAGTATGATCATACTTTTTTTAAAAGGAGGAGGAGGAGGGAGGCGTGGAAAAGAAATATGGCAGCACCTTTAAGGCTAATTTTTGTTTTTGCATGAGCTTTTGTGGATATAAACCCACTTCTTCGGAATAGTACAGAGTGACAATAAATATGGCCAAATGACCATAAAATGTCTTCCATCTGCCCCATGAAGTTAGGATTAAGTGTGAGATAGAAAAAGGGAAGTAGTGCATGAGCAAATGTTACAGTTCCATGAACATGCACATGTCACTAGTGAGTGTCCACATTATCTGCCTTAACAATTCTACTGTTTGGACATAGATCTCGGGGTACAGATGGGAGGAAAGTAAATAGTTAGGCCATGATAATGGAAGAGGAAGTAACCACTCTTTCTCATTTGTCTTCAAGTCGCCTGTCTACTTATGGCGACCCATGAATTTCATAGGGTTTTGTTAGGCAAGGAATCCTCACAGGCAGTTTTGCTAGGCAGGCAAGTTCCTTCCTCTGATATTCTGGTATTCATTGTTGGTCTCCCATCCAAATACTAACCAGGGCTGACCCTGCTTAGCTTCCAAGATCAGATGGAATATAGTGCATTTAGGATATTTAGGTCCTCTTTTTCATTTATCTATCCTCAATAAACATTTAGTCACTCAATCTTATTTGTTGTAGCTACAGCCCACTGCTCATTTTTTATCTCTGTCCAGACAGCCATGTATTCATTCAACATACAATAAGGCAAATATATTTCACCACTCCTACAGAAGCATTGACTGGATGTAAGCTAACTGTTCTTCTCTGGATTGCTATTATTTTTTTCAAACAAGGTTCTTCTGCTTTCCCAGGATGCCTAGCAGAAGCAACATTGCCAACATGAAGATGCAGTGAGAAAGACACTTGTCCCCTGTTGATCTGTTGTTTGTTTCAAAAGCACAGGTCACCATACAATA